CCGGAAGGGGGGGGAAAGTGTCCCGACCGGAAGGGGGGGAAAGTGTCCGACCGGAAGGGGGGGAAAGTGTCCGGACCGGAAGGGGGGGAAAGTGGGGGGGGGAAAGTGTCCGGACAGGAAGGGGGGAAAGTGTCCGGACAGGGAGGGGGGGAAAGTGTCCGGACAGGGAGGGGGGGGGAAAGTGTCCGGACAGGGAGGGGGGGGGGGAAAGTGTCCGGACAGGGAGGGGGGGGGAAAGTGTCCGGACTGGGAGGGGGGGAAAGTGTCCGGACAGGGAGGGGGGGAAAGTGTCCGGACAGGGAGGGGGGAAAGTGTCCGGACAGGGAGGGGGGGAAAGTGTCCGGACAGGGAGGGGGGGAAAGTGTCCGGACAGGGAGGGGGGGTGATGGAGAAGAACGCTCACTCTTCATACTTGTGTCCAGTTGAATGAAAGTTCCACACAAGATGGATTTGAAGGCCTCCTATTGGAGGGGAGAGAAGACGTGTCGGTGGCGTGATCCATGGCGTGATCCGTGGCGTGATCCATGACATTAGAATGGTCTCAGATGTGGGCTGCACAGTCCTCATTCACCAACAGCGAGTCGATCAATCGCCAGGTTCATTCTCTCACCGGAGTAGAGTGTGGCGAGGTGGTCAGGCAGACCAGGGATTGGTCAGACCGCATCCTGTTGTCTATGTCGCATTCTGGAGGACCAATCCAGGCAGCCGCGATCCACCAGAAAATAGTCGACACGACTGTAGGGAGGTGGGCCGGTGAAAGACAAGTGTGGTTTCGGGTTTTAGGATGGAAGACCCTCCACATGTCCATCAAACTCGGGCGTTGGGGAAGAGGGGCCGATCCAGGGAGACGGCATCGATCATCTGGAGGGTCCAGCCAGTTGAGAATCCACAGGATCTTGCTCAAGGATCAGGAAAAAGTCGGGTAGTTGGTCCGGGTTCAAGAGCTTAAATCTAAGGTCTCCACAGGTGACCCGAATGGTGAATGGGTGACCCCAGGAATAAGTGGCTCCAGCTCAGTGGATCAGATCCAGCAAGGGCCCGACCACCTGTGGCATGTATAGAGCGTGTCTGGATAGGTCTGGGTAAAGATGGATTGAGGTGCCATCAAAGTCCACCAGACCAGAACGCCAGGCCTTGCCGATAATGTCCTCCTTCATGGTGTAATAATGTCCTCCTTCATGGTGTACTCGGCATAGGACGTCTCTCGGGTGGTCCATACGGGTATCGTTGGGTCCCCCCACTCTGTGGACCCCATCCAGGTCTATGGGCAATACAGCGTCTCTGCCCAGGACCTGGTTAAGGATGGTGACGATGGTAGGTTTCAGGTCTGATCCCAAAGTCGCCTCGGGGACACCCTGTATCCATGTTAGTTCTGCGACTTGAGGTGCCATCAAAGTCCACCAGACCCGAACGCCAGGCCGTGCGTAGAATGTCCTCCTTCATGGTGGACTCGGCATAGGACGTCTCTCGGGTGGTCCATACGGGTATCGTTGGGTCCCCCCACTCTGTGGACCCTATCCAGGTCTATGGGCAATACAACGTCTCTGCCCAGGACCTGGTTAAGGATGGTGACGATGGTAGGATTCAGGTCTGATCCCGAAGTCGCCTCGGGGACACCCTGTATCCATGTTAGTTCTGCGACTTGAGGTGCCATCAAAGTCCACCAGACCCGAACGCCAGGCCGTGCGTAGAATGTCCTCCTCCATGGTGGACTCGGCATAGGACGTCTCTCGGGTGGTCCATACGGGTATCGTTGGGTCCCCCCACTCTGTGGACCCTATCCAGGTCTATGGGCAATACAGAGTCTCTGCCCAGGACCTGGTTAAGGATGGTGACGATGGTAGGATTCAGGTCTGATCCCGAAGTTGCCTCGGGGACACCCTGTATCCATGTTAGTTCTGCGACTTGAGGTGCCATCAAAGTCCACCAGACCCGAACGCCAGGCCGTGCGTAGAATGTCCTCCTCCATGGTGGACTCGGCATAGGACGTCTCTCGGGTGGTCCATACGGGTATCGTTGGGTCCCCCCACTCTGTGGACCCCATCCCGGTCTATGGGCAATACAGCGTCTCTGCCCAGGACCTGGTTAAGGATGGTGACGATGGTAGGATTCAGGTCTGATCCCGAAGTCGCCTCGGGGACACCCTGTATCCATGTTAGTTCTGCGACTTCCATTTCCGTGGTCCTCTATGCAGAGAGGACACTGACGGAGGCGCATGAGGTACGAGGTGGAGGCTGCTTCTAGGGCCCGAATCCGTGAGGCATGGTCCTCTTAGGTGGTAGTGAGGGCCAAGATGGCAGAGTTGGAGGACGATACTTGCGGTTTTAAAGTATCCAGTTCCCGGTGGAGGGAGGACTCCAGTTTAGTTACCCAAAAGGTGAAGTCTGCCCGAGGCAGAGAGGAGGGCCGCGGTCTCTGGGCTAGTCGACTCCCCTGTGGCCGATCGTCGGGGCGGAGAGGAGCCGTTACAGTGGGACGCATGAAGACTGGATGGGATCCCCATGGATAGTAGATGCCTTGGATCGAGTGACCGGTAAGTCTGGGGTGGTGTCACGGCCAGCCGGGGGGGTCATGGAAGCTGAGGTAGGCCGCAGGCTGGCTGGCCGGTGTACGACTCGGCGCCATCTTGTCCTTGACGGCCCGGGTTCCTGGAGGGGCTGTGCGGAGGAAATCGCTTGGAATGGAGCTTGAGGCTCAGTAGGATCCGATGGATGAGAGTCATGTGCCGACATGAGGATGATGGGTGTAGTGTCAATGAAGAAAGAGGGGGTCAACAGGGCACAGAGCTCAGCAAGACCTGTCCTCAGCCTTCCATTGTCAGCCACGCCCCCCTGTAATATTTGGTTTTATTGATCCTGTGGGGACTGCCCCTATCTCTGAGTGTATATAACCGGTATTTCTCTAGTGTCGCCCAGTCTGGGGTGTGATGCCCGGCTAGAATGGTCTCTGGGACCCAGCGGCAAGGAAACTCTGATGGAATCACCCAATCGGGGTGACAGACGTTCCATCACAATTACACCCCCCCCCCCCCCCACGTAATACTCCCCCAACTGTCATAGACAGAGAGATCTGACACCATGACATCAGGTGACAACGTCAGTCCACCTACCGTGGTGGCCGGTGTGATACAACACAGACGGATGACGTACTCCAGGAGAACCTCCCCCCCCGGCAGTTCCAGGTAACCGTGATGTGCCATGGCGCTAATCAGCTGAACCATCGCCCTCCGAACCTGCAGAGAGAGGAGCCCCAACATGTAACATACAGGGGAGCTGGGAGCCATCATATCACATACATGGCTAGGAGGGTCAGTGGGAGGAATAGTGCCCCATCATTGGTGTCAGTGAGAGCAATAGTGTCCCATCATTGGTGTCAGTGAGAGGAATAGTGCCCCATCATTGGTGTCAGTGGGAGGAATAGTGCCCCATCATTGGTGTCAGTGGGAGGAATAGTGCCCCATCATTGGTGTCAGTGGGAGGAATAGTGCCCCATCATTGGTGTCAGTGGGAGGAATAGTGCCCCATCATTGGTGTCAGTGAGAGGAATAGTGCCCCATCATTGGTGTCAGTGGGGGAGAGAATAGTGCCCCATCATTGGTGTCAGTGGGAGGAATAGTGCCCCATCATTGGTGTCAGTGGGAGGAATAGTGCCCCATCATTGGTGTCAGTGAGAGGAATAGTGCCCCATCATTGGTGTCAGTGGGGGAGGAATAGCGCCCCATCATTGGTGTCAGTGAGAGGAATAGTGCCCCATCATTGGTGTCAGTGGGGGAGGAATAGTGCCCCATCATTGGTGTCAGTGGGGGAGGAATAGCGCCCCATCATTGGTGTCAGTGGGAGGAATAGTGCCCCATCATTGGTGTCAGTGGGGGAGGAATAGTGCCCCATCATTGGTGTCAGTGGGAGGAATAGTGCCCCATCATTGGTGTCAGTGTGAGAGGAATAGTGCCCCATCATTGGTGTCAGTGGGGGAGGAATAGCGCCCCATCATTGGTGTCAGTGGGAGGAATAGTGCCCCATCATTGGTGTCAGTGGGAGGAATAGTGCCCCATCATTGGTGTCAGTGGGAGGAATAGTGCCCCATCATTGGTGTCAGGGGGAGGAATAGTGCCCCATCATTGGTGTCAGTGAGAGGAATAGTGCCCCATCATTGGTGTCAGTGGGGGAGGAATAGCGCCCCATCATTGGTGTCAGTGAGAGGAATAGTGCCCCATCATTGGTGTCAGTGGGAGGAATAGCGCCCCATCATTGGTATCAGTGGGAGGAATAGTGCCCCATCATTGGTGTCAGTGGAGGAATAGCGCCCCATCATTGGTGTCAGTGAGAGGAATAGCGCCCCATCATTGGTGTCAGTGGGAGGAATAGCGCCCCATCATTGGTGTCAGTGGGGGAGGAATAGCGCCCCATCATTGGTGTCAGTGGGGGAGGAATAGTGCCCCATCATTGGTGTCAGTGGGGGAGGAATAGCGCCCCATCATTGGTGTCAGTGGGAGGAATAGTGTCCCATCATTGGTGTCAGTGGGAGGAATAGTGCCCCATCATTGGTGTCAGTGGGAGGAATAGTGTCCCATCATTGGTGTCAGTGGGAGGAATAGTGCCCCATCATTGGTGTCAGTGGGGGGGAATAGCGCCCCATCATTGGTGTCAGTGAGGAGGAATAGTGCCCCATCATTGGTGTCAGTGGGAGGAATAGTGCCCCATCATTGGTGTCAGTGGGGGAGGAATAGCGCCCCATCATTGGTGTCAGTGAGAGGAATAGTGCCCCATCATTGGTGTCAGTGAGAGGAATAGTGCCCCATCATTGGTGTCAGTGGGAGGAATAGTGCCCCATCATTGGTGTCAGTGGGAGGAATAGTGCCCCATCATTGGTGTCAGTGGGGGGGGAATAGTGCCCCATCATTGGTGTCAGTGGGAGGAATAGTGCCCCATCATTGGTGTCAGTGAGAGGAATAGTGCCCCATCATTGGTGTCAGTGGGAGGAATAGTGCCCCATCATTGGTGTCAGTGGGAGGAATAGTGCCCCATCATTGGTGTCAGTGTTCTCTCCCATTGGCCCCCATGTACCCGGTTGCTGGTGTCCTGTAGAGGATTTCTCGCAGCCGCCAGGATTAGCGGTTTTTTCACTTCCATAAATGGCGCTGAAAGAACAAAGTGCAGAGATCAGAGGCGGGACTTCCCATCATCACACCTTCATTCCATTGGACCCTTCCCTGTTATCACACCCTGCCTGCCACAAGACCCGCCCCCATCACCAGACCCGCCCCCATCACAAGACCCACCCCCACCATCGCCAGACCCTCCGTCACCAGACCCCCCCCCACCCCAATCACCAGACCCACCCCCCCATTACAAGACCCTCCGTCACCAGACCCCCCCACCCCAATCGCCAGACCCACCTCCCATTGCTAGACTCTCCCCATCACCACACCCACCACCCATCACCAGACCCCCCCCCCCCCAGCACCAGACCCGCCATCACCACACCCCCGCCCACCACCCATTACCAGACCCTCCATCGCCAGACTCACCCCACCACACCCACCACCAGACCTGCCCCCCATTACCAGACACCCCCAATCACCAGACTCTCCCCATCACCACACCCCACCACCAGACCCTCCTTGTCATGAGACCAACCCCCCCATCACCAGACCCGCCATCACCACACCCACCGCCCGCCACCAGACCCTCCATCGCCAGACTCACCCCATTACCACACCCACCACCAGACCCGCCCCCCATTACCAGACACCCCCAATCACCAGACTCTCCCCATCACCACACCCACCACCAGACCCTCCTTGTCATGAGACCGACCCCCCCCCCCAATCACCAGACTCTCCCCATCACCACACCCACCACCCATCACCAGACCTCCCCCCATTACCAGACACCCCCATAGCCAGACTCTCCCCATCACCACACCCACCACCAGACCCCCCCCCCCCCCCCCCAGCACCAGACCCGCCATCACCCACACCCACCACCACATCACCAGACCCCCCCCAGCACCAGACCCGCCATCACCACACCCACCACCAGACCCGCCCCCCCAGCACCAGACCCGCCATCACCACACCCACCACCCATCACCAGACCCTCCATCGCCAGACCCAGTCCCCATCACCAGACCCCCCCCAAATCACCAGACTCTCCCCATCACCACACCCACCACCAATCACCAGACCCCCCCGTCACCAGACCCCCCCCCCCAAACGCCAGACCCACCCCCCTTTGCCAGACCCACTCCCCCATCCGAAGACCCCCCCCCCCCCAGACCCTCCCCCAGCCACTCACCGGAGGAGTTGAGGACCTGTTTCAGGATGATGAGCGCTCCCACTCGCACTTTGGGGTTGTTGGTCTCCATTTTGGGAAGTAGAAATGACAGCAATTGATCCGGGAATGTGGTGGCTGCAGGAGGCGAAAACCAGAAGATGTGAAGAATGCAGAAACAGCTCCCTGCGAGAGTGGGGAGGAGGTGCAGTCTGTGCTCTCTCCCTCCTGTCAGAACAGCGATCATCCATGCAGCAGGTGACCCCCTGTCCTCCGTCCTGCTGACCCCCTGTCCCCCCGTCCTGCCGAGCCCCTGTCCCCCCGAGCCCCTGTCCCCCCGTCCTGCCGAGCCCCTGTCCCTCCGTCCTGCCGAGCCCCTGTCCCCCCGTCCTGCCGAGCCCGGTACACTTCACTACTGACTCCTTTACACTGCCCCGCTGACCATGCATCCTCTGCCCCCCTGATATTTTTTACTGCCCCCCCACATCAGACATGCTAGATCCGGCCCTGGATGGGAATGTTCTCCTCATCCTCCTTCCATCCAATACCATCATCATCCTCCCTTCCATCCAATACCATCATCATCCTCCTTCCATCCAATACCATCATCATCATCCTTCCATCCAATACCATCATCATCCTCCTTCCATCCAATACCATCATCATCCTCATCATCCTTTCCATCCAATACCATCCATCATCCTCCTCCTTCCATCCAATACCATCATCATCCTCCTTCCATCCAATACCATCATCCCTCCTCCAATCCATCCAATATCCATCATCCTCCTCCTTTCCATCCAATACCATCATCCTCCTCCTTCCATCCAATACCATCATCCTCCTCCTTCCATCCAATACCATCCTCATCCTCCTTCCATCCAATACCATCATCCTCCTCCTTCCATCCAATACCATCATCCTCCTCCTTCCATCCAATACCATCATCATCCTCCTTCCATCCAATACCATCATCATCCTCCTTCCATCCAATACCATCATCATATCCATCATATCATCCTCCTTCCATCCAATACCATCATCATCCATCATCATCCTCCTTCCATCCAATACCATCATCATCATGCTCCTTCCATCCAATACCATCATCATCCTCCTTCCATCCATTATCCATCATCATCCTCCTTCCATCCAATACCATCATCATCATGCTCCCTTCCATCCAATACCATCATCATCCTCCTTCCATCCATTATCATCATCCCTCCATCCAGTATCATCATTTACCATCATCATCATCATCCCTCCATCCAGTACCATCATTCACCCATCATCATCATCCCTCCATCCAGTACCATCATTCACCCATCATCATCATCCCTCCATCCATCCAGTACCTTCACCATCATCATCATCCCTCCATCCAGTACCATCATTCACCCATCATCATCATCATCCCTCCATCCAGTACCATCATTCACCCATCATCATCCCTCCATCCAGTATCATCATTCACCCATCATCATCATCATCATCATTCCTCCATCCAGTCCACCATCATTCACCCATCATCATCCCTCCATCCAGTATCATCATTCACCCATCATCATCATCCCTCCATCCAGTATCATCATTCACCCATCATCATCATCATTCCTCCATCCAGTACCATCATTCACCCATCATCATCATCCCTCCATCCAGTACCATCATTCAGCCATCATCATCCCTCCATCCAGTATCATCATTCACCCATCATCATCCCTCCATCCAGTATCATCATTCACCCATCATCATCATCATTCCTCCATCCAGTACCATCATTCACCCATCATCATCCCTCCATCCAGTACCATCATTCACCCATCATCATCATCCCTCCATCCAGTACCATCATTCACCCATCATCATCATCCCTCCATCCAGTACCATCATTCACCCATCATCATCCCTCCATCCAGTACCATCATCATTCACCCCATCATCATCATCATCCCTCCATCCAGTATCATCATTCACCCATCATCATCCCTCCATCCAGTACCATCATTCACCCATCATCATCCCTCCATCCAGTATCATCATTCACCCATCATCATCATCATCCCTCCATCCAGTATCATCATTCACCCATCATCATCATCCCTCCATCCAGTATCATCATTCACCCATCATCATCATCCCTCCATCCAGTATCATCATTCACCCATCATCATTCACCCATCATCATTCATCCATCATCATTCATCCATCATCATCCTCCTTACCGAGAACTGTGAAGCAGCGGAGGAGCTCATTCTTATTCCGTTCCATCATCAGTGGAGGAGTCCAGGGAGGAGCAGATCTGCCAGGAGAGGAGAGAGACATGAGGACCGCGGACAATGGAGGACGGAGGAGCGCGGACAATGGAGGACGGGGAGCGCGGACAATGGAGGACGGGAGGACGCGGGCAATGGAGGACGGGAGGAGCGCGGGCAATGGAGGACGGGAGGAGCGCGGGCAATGGAGGACGGGAGGAGCGCGGGCAATGGAGGACGGGAGGAGCGCGGGCAATGGAGGACGGGAGGAGCGCGGGCAATGGAGGAGGGACGCGGGCAATGGAGGACGGGAGGAACGCGGGCAATGGAGGACGGGAGGAACGCGGGCAATGGAGGACGGGGAGGAACGCGGGCAATGGAGGACGGGAGGAACGCGGGCAATGGAGGACGGGAGGAACGCGGGCAATGGAGGACGGGAGGAACGCGGGCAATGGAGGACGGGAGGAACGCGGGCAATGGAGGACGGGAGGAACGCGGGCAATGGAGGACGGGGAGGAACGCGGGCAATGGAGGACGGGAGGAACGCGGGCAATGGAGGACGGGAGGAACGCGGGCAATGGAGGAACGCGGGCAATGGAGGACGGGAGGAACACGGGCAATGGAGGACGGGGGAACACGGGCAATGGAGGACGGGAGGACCACGGACAATCACCCCCATACTTAAAAAGCCCTCCCTGGACCCCAATGACCCGAACAACCTCAGACCCATCTCCCTGCTCCCATTTACATCCAAACTCCTCGAGCGCCTCGTCTACACCCGCCTATGCTCTCACCTCAACGACAACAACCTCCTCGATCCCCTACAGTCCGGCTTCCGTCCCCTACACACTCCACCGAAACCGCCCTACGCTCCCACCGAACCCGCCCTACGCTCCACCGAAACCATCCTACACTCCACCGAACCCGCCCTACGCTCCACCGAAACCCGCCCTACGCTCCACCGAAACCCGCCCTACGCTCCACCGAAACCCGCCCTACGCTCCACCGAAACCCGCCCTACGCTCCACCGAAACCCGCCCTACGCTCCACCGAAACCCGCCCTACGCTCCACCGAAACCCGCCCTACGCTCCACCCAAACCGCCCTACGCTCCACCCAAACCGCCCTACGCTCCACCCAAACCGCCCTACACTCCACCCAAAACCGCCCTACACTCCACCCAAACCGCCCTACACTCCACCCAAACCGCCCTACACTCCACCCCAACTCGCCCTACACTCCACCGAACCGCCCTACACTCCACCGAACCCACTCCACCGAACTCGCCCTACACTCCACCGAACCCGCCCTACACTCCACCGAACCCGCTCCACCGAACCCGCTCCACCGAACCCGCCCTACGCTCCACCGAAACCCGCCCTACGCTCCACCGAACCCGCTCCACCGAACCCGCTCCACCGAACCCGCCCTACGCTCCACCGAACCCGCTCCACCGAACCCGCTCCACCGAACCCGCCCTACGCTCCACCGAAACCCGCCCTACGCTCCACCGAAACCCGCCCTACGCTCCACCGAAACCCGCCCTACGCTCCACCGAAACCCGCCCTACGCTCCACCGAAAACCCGCCCTACGCTCCACCCAAACCGCCCTACGCTCCACCCAAACCGCCCTACACTCTAACCCAAACCGCCCTACACTCCACCGAACCCACTCCACCGAACTCGCCCTACACTCCACCGAACCCGCCCTACACTCCACCGAACCCGCTCCACCGAACCCGCCCTACACTCCACCGAACCCGCTCCACCGAACCCGCCCTACGCTCCACCGAACCCGCCCTACACTCCACCGAACCCGCCCTACACTCCACCGAACCCGCCCTACACTCCACCGAAACCGCCCTACGCTCCACCGAAACCGCCCTACACTCCACCGAAACCGCCCTACACTCCACCGAAACCGCCCTACACTCCACCGAAACCGCCCTACACTCCACCGAAACTGCCTTACTCAAACTCTCCACACTCTCTGGAAGTGGATGGTCAGAGGGTCGGTCGGCGGGTCGTGGAAGTGGACGGTCAGCGAGTCCTGGAAGTGGACGGTCAGAGGGTGCTGCAAGTGGACGGTTAGCGGGTGCTGGAAGTGGACGGTCAGAGAGTCCTGGAAGTGGACGGTCAGCGAGTCCTGGAAGTGGACGGTCAGCGAGTCCTGGAAGTGGACGGTCAGCGAGTCCTGGAAGTGGACGGTCAGCGAGTCCTGGAAGTGGACGGTCAGCGAGTCCTGGAAGTGGACGGTCAGCGAGTCCTGGAAGTGGACGGTCAGCGAGTCCTGGAAGTGGACGGTCAGAGGGTGCTGCAAGTGGACGGTCAGCGGGTGCTGCAAGTGGACGGTCAGCGGGTGCTGGAAGTGGACGGTCAGCGGGTGCTGGAAGTGGACGGTCAGCGGGTGCTGGAAGTGGACGGTCAGAGAGTCCTGGAAGTGGACGGTCAGCGGGTCCCCACAGTGTCCACCCCGCCGAGAGACCCCACAGTGTCCACCCCGCCGAGAGACCCCACAGTGTCCACCCCGCCGAGAGACCCCACAGTGTCCACCCCGCCGAGAGACCCCACAGTGTCCACCCCGCCGAGAGACCCCACAGTGTCCACCCCGCCGAGAGACCCCACAGTGTCCACCCCGCCGAGAGACCCCACAGTGTCCACCCCGCCGAGAGACCCCACAGTGTCCACCCCGCCGAGAGACCCCACAGTGTCCACCCCGCCGAGAGACCCCACAGTGTCCACCCCGCCGAGAGACCCCACAGTGTCCACCCCGCCGAGAGACCCCACAGTGTCCACCCCGCCGAGAGACCCCACAGTGTCCACCCCGCCGAGAGACCCCACAGTGTCCACCCCCGCCGAGAGACCCCACAGTGTCCACCCCGCCGAGAGACCCCACAGTGTCCACCCCGCCGAGAGACCCCACAGTGTCCACCCCGCCGAGAGACCCCACAGTGTCCACCCCGCCGAGAGACCCCACAGTGTCCACCCCGCCGAGAGACCCCACAGTGTCCACCCCGCCGAGAGACCCCACAGTGTCCACCCCACAGAGACCCCACAGTCCACCCCCGCCGAGAGACCCCACAGTGTCCACCCCGCCGAGAGACCCCACAGTGTCCCCCCGCCGAGAGACCCCACAGTGTCCACCCCGCCGAGAGACCCCACAGTGTCCACCCCGCCGAGAGACCCCACAGTGTCCACCCCGCCGAGAGACCCCACAGTGTCCACCCCGCCGAGAGACCCCACAGTGATGGGGAGAATGGGAGGGGTCACATGACTCCCTGCACATTCCCAGGAGCACACTGTCCAGGTCTGCTAACTCTCAATACGCAGGACAGGCGATGCATACCGGGTTATGGAAGTGGCCGGTCGGCGGGTCGTGGAAGTGGGACAAGTGGACGGTCAGAGGGTCAGTCAGCGGGACGTGGAAGTGCGGTCAGCGGGTCATGGAAGGTCAGCGGGTCCTGGAAGTGGACGGTCAGAGGGTGCTGGAAGCGGACGGTCAGCGGGTCCTGGAAGAGGACGGTCAGCGGGTCCTGGAAGAGGACGGTCAGCGGGTCCTGGAAGAGGACGGTCAGCGGGTCCTGGAAGAGGACGGTCAGCGGGTCCTGAAAGAGGCCGGTCAGCGGGTCCTGGAAGAGGCCGGTCAGCGGGTCCTGGAAGAGGCCGGTCAGCGGGTCCTGGAAGAGGCCGGTCAGCGGGTCCTGGAAGAGGACGGTCAGCGGGTCCAGGAAGAGGACGGTCAGCGGGTCCTGGAAGAGGACGGTCAGCGGGTCCTGGAAGAGGACGGTCAGCGGGTCCTGGAAGAGGACGGTCAGCGGGTCCTGGAAGAGGACGGTCAGCGGGTCCTGGAAGAGGCCGGTCAGCGGGTCCTGGAAGAGGCCGGTCAGCGGGTCCTGGAAGAGGCCGGTCAGCGGGTCCTGGAAGAGGACGGTCAGCGGGTCCTGGAAGAGGACGGTCAGCATGTGATCACAATTACCGTCAGCTGAGGAGGCCTTACCTGGGAGTGAAGGGCTGACAGCACCGAGTCCATCAGAGGCTCCAGAGTCCGGCTGTCATTGGCCACACCGCTCTCCAGGATCTGACAGAAACTCTGACAACAGACACAATAAGGGAGGAACATTATACATCCAGTTATAACCGGGGAACCCCCCCTCCGGGAACCCCCCCCCCTCAAGGTGGAGTCATTACACCTCCAGGAAGGGCGGAGCACCAATGTCAGATCTCATCCTCAGACTTCACAGGCAGCCACTCCCGGGAGGTCCCACCATTTACTTCCTCCAAACAGCTGGCCGTCCACTGTGCCGGATACAGGAACCCCCCCCCCCCCCCCCACTGTGCAGGATAGAAGAACCCCCCCCCCCCCCCCACTGTGCCGGATACAGGAACCCCCCACCATTCTGCCCCATGCGGGGATACCCCCCACCATTCTGCCCCATGCGGGGATACCCCCCACCATGCCCCATGCGGGGATACCCCCCACCATTCTGCCCCATGCGGGGATACCCCCCACTCTGGCGGATGCGGGGGGGACCCATAAAATTAATTTTTCTCTGCTTATTGTGGGATATAGAACCCGAACAACATGGACTACATCCAGGCAAGGGGGGGGGGGGGGGGGGATCTCCTTGTGAAGAACTGAAATGGAGACAGAAGAACGATGTCCTGGTTGAGGTGAAAGGCCACAACTAATTTGCGCAGAAAGGAAGTTCTGGACCTCGGCACCATCTTGTGTGAGACCAGAAAGGGTTCTTTACAGGACAAGGCCACAAGCTGAGACATTCACCTTGCAGAGGTAAAGACAACGAGGACTACTCCATGGAGTGAATTGTGAGGCCACAGAGGAAGCCACAGAGGAAGCCACAGAGGAAGCCACAGAGGAAGCCACAGAGGAAGCCACATCCGGTACGAAGGTTTTGATGCAAGAAGAAGAGGACAGAAGTGGTCTCTGGAACAGGAGTGGAAACGCAGACACCTCACCTTTAATAGTGCCAAGGGAGGGCCAAGGGTCAACTGCTGGTCCAGGCCGGTCTACAAATAGACAAGGATTGGCCCTACAGAGAATTTCCTGAGCTGGAAATTGTACCTCGCATCATGCGAAGTATGTCTTCCATATGCAATGGTAGACCATGCCTAGCTTTGAGCATTGTGAGCATTGTGAGGATCACTAATTTGGAGACGCCTCTGTCTCTCAGAACTTGGGCTTCAAACACCCGTGTCTTTAAGGCTAGTGTCCGTGAAGGATGGCAAATCGGTTTATGAGGACAGATGATCCAGACGTCGGCTAGAAGTGTGATCAGGTTGGAGTACCACATGTATCTGGGTCATTGCACAGCTATGAGGATCAAAAGAATGGTTTACTTCTCAGAGAGAACTGGCAGAGGAGGAGCAGTTTCAGGGAAGGAAGTGTGTGGACCAGATTGTACTGAACCAATGGAGAATCTACTGCCTCTGCTAGAGGATCCCTTCGCCTGGAGACAAACCTGTCCAGTTTGTGCTGAACCTGGAGGCCAGGAGGTCTACATCCAGGTTCCCCCCACCTGGGAGACAGGTCCAGGGACACCTCCAGGTGTTGGAACTATTCCCTGGATCTAGGCACTGCCGGCTAAGTAAGTCTGCCTTCCAATAGTCCATGTCTGGGGTATAAATGGCTGAACAGGCCGTTCCACAGCTCTTGCTGCGGCAAGACCTCTTGGCCCTCCCTGATGGTTCATGTATGCCATTGCTGTGGCATTGTCAAATTGGATGTGGATCAGGTGAACCTACAATTCCGATGTTCAGCATTGCCGGGACAACAAAATTACCTAAAGATCCAGGATGTTGATCGGGAGATAAAACTCCTCACATGTCCCATGCACAAACAAGGTTTCCAGAACTCCGAGTAAGAGCAAAAGGATTCTCCAAGAGATGAGAAGGAAGGATGTTCCAAACTCCACAGCAGGATTTCTGAACTACCAAGCCAGGGGCAACATGGTCTTTGGTGCCAAACAAATGGGTCTGTCGAAGGACTGGACTGCCTTGTCCCACGATGACAGAATGTTACGTTGTAGGAGTCTGGAGTAAGACTCTGTAAATGAGACTACTTTAAAGAAGGATGCCATCAACCGCAGAACCTTCATACAGAAGTGAAGAGTTGGAGGACTCCTGGACTGAAGAGTCTGGAAGTGGAGATGTTGAAGCCAAACTCTGGCTTGGGCTCTTTATATGATTAGATCCAAATACTCTAAGCCTCAAGTACATTCCAGAGCTGATTTCTGAAGGTTCAACGTCCAGCTGAATTTCTGCAAGGTTTGGACAGTCGTAACCAAGATGTCAGTCAGACATTGTGTCACCTGTTCCCTCAACAGGAGGTTGTCCATGTAATGTACAATGGAATGCACTATGCAGTGAGGCCAGAACAGGAGCTAGAAACCCAGTGAATACCTGAGATGCCGAAGAAAGGCTGAATGACAGGGCCACAAAGTGCTGAGGGCCCTCAGCAAACAGAAGGATATGTTGAACTACAAGAAATATGGAAACAATAGAAGTGCACATCCCTGATGTCCTCAGAGGCCAGAAAGTGTCCTCGATGAAGGGAACCTATGACAGACCTGGTAGACTCCATGTGGAATTTTTGAGCCCGAATGAAGACATTTAGGGCCTTGAGTTTCCATATGGGAACTGTAAACAGGCTAGAGTAGAACCCCCTGAAATGGTCACACCACAGGGAATATTGGGCCATCTGAAATGCTGGTTGTCCAAATGTCCACAAAGGCAAAGAGACATTATTCTTATACAGGATTTATGGCGCCAACAGATTGCTCAGCGCTGTACAATATAACAGGAGACAATACAGCAACAATACTGATCAATACAAGAGGGATAGGAGGTCCTGATCCTGGGAGCTTACAATCTAAGAGGGAGGGGCTGATCCTGGGAGCTTACAATCTAGGAGGGAGGGGCTGATCCTGGGAGCTTACAATCTAGGAGGGAGGGGCTGATCCTGGGAGCTTACAATCTAAGAGGGAGGACCTGATCCTGGGAGCTTACAATCTAGGAGGGAGGGGCTGATCCTGGGAGCTTACAATCTAAGAGGGAGGGGCTGATCCTGGGAGCTTACAATCTAAGAGGGAGGGGCTGATCCTGGGAGCTTACAATCTAAGAGGGAGGGGCTGATCCTGGGAGCTTACAATCTAGGAGGGAGGGGCTGATCCTGGGAGCTTACAATCTAGGAGGGAGGGGCTGATCCTGGGAGCTTACAATCTAGGAGGGAGGGGCTGATCCTGGGAGCTTACAATCTAGGAGGGAGGGGCTGATCCTGGGAGCTTACAATCTAGGAGGGAGGGGCTGATCCTGGGAGCTTACAATCTAGGAGGGAGGGGCTGATCCTGGGAGCTTACAATCTAGGAGGGAGGGGCTGATCCTGGGAGCTTACAATCTAGGAGGGAGGGGCTGATCCTGGGAGCTTACAATCTAAGAGGGAGGCCCTGATCCTGGGAGCTTAAAGTCTAGGAGGGAGGGGCTAGTGGTACAAAAGGTAATAACTGTGGGGGATGGACTGGTAGGAGGAATAGAAGATTCCATTATTAGCTGAGGGCAGGATAGGCTTCCCTAAAGCAGGGGCGTCCCAAGGCAGGGCTGCACCAGGTGACACCTACCGCATGGGGTGACACCAGACCCGCTCCACGAAAAGGTAAGTTGTAAAGCAAGCCGACGATCCTCGCAGCATGGATTGGATCTGCGGATTGAGCATAATGGATCGGAGTCCGATCCATTATGCTCCCCAATCTGCAGAGGGGATCGGAGGGGGTGTCACCAAGTGTTATTGCACCGGGTGACACCAACCCTAGGGATGCCCTTGCCCTGAAGAGGTTTTTAGAGATCGCCTAAAAGTAAGCAGAATAGGCGATAGTCTGCTAATTGGGGTAGAGTTCCAGAGGATGGGGGAAGCTCTGGAGAAGTCCAGACATCACCCCATTTCCAAGGAAGATTTATCAGAAGGCTTGGGGGGAGGGACTTGAAGTGGGAGCCAGCTTTGGATTTGGCTTTTGAAATTGAGGCCTGAGAGAAAAGGACCACCAGGGACAATAGGAAAAAAGAAACCAAGCCACCTCCTTCCCCTACTGAGGAGGGGTCCTGGAGGGCAATCTAGCAGAGGACCCTACCGGCTGTTCTCAGGGGAGTCAGGCAGGTAAAAGTGGAAGTGGAAGAAAATGATAGCCAGAGAAACAGAGGCTTCCCTCATCCAGGTTCCAGGTGATGCATCTCCTCCGGCTGGAGTAAACACAATAAACGGACCAGTTCACCAGAAAGATTTCCTTTTAAAGTACTTTTGTGATGTGTTTCCTGTTCCTGTTGAAGGAGGTGCCTATATTTCATGGGCTGGCCTGGAAGAGGATTTGGGGAAAAAGGTTCTTCTTGGCTGCCGTTGGGGAGGGCCCTAGGCTGCTTCTGCAGGGGAAGTGGAGTACTTTTGTCCCTAGTAACACCCTTGATAAGGGAATCCAGGTCAGCTCCAAAGAGATGACTATCGAAGGACATGCAAAGCAGACGCTTCTTGCAGCCGGGTTCCACAGCTCAACACTTCAGCCAAATAATTCAATATTCTCCGACAGAAGACTTATACATGAGATGAGGCAGAAGAGCTTCACATAACCTGTCCACATTGTGGTTCAAGGCTGTTGGCATGAGCCTCAGATGTTCTATGAGGATCAGTTGCCATGGTAAGGTCCCTTCCTATAGTTTTAGCCCGATCAGTGAGGGTTTCGTAGACTAATGTCACAGCCAAGTCCGGTTGCACTGCAGGGCCTGTCAGAGAGGACAGCTCTAGAAAGGGCCTCCAGGCATGTGTTGACGGGGTCCTTGAAACCGGGTGCATCCTCCACAAGGATGGTTAGAACTTTGTTAGAAGGTAGACTGGCCATCTGTGGATTTGGCAGTATCCTGTTTTAACAAAGTCCTCCTCAAATGGGTGTAAATTTGCCCCATGCTTGGCGAGGACAAACAACTTGTCAGGGTTTCTCCAGTCTGTTAAGGAAGACTGAGAATATTAGTTGCAGTAAAGTCTTAACAATCTTAGAGAAAAGAAGACGAGGAAGAGCTTTGGTGGAAGCTTCAGGCTGATCTTCCAGCAATAAGGTGGTGCATGAGAGATCAAAAATGGGAGAATTGGTTTGCCATAAAAGACGGATTCCTCAGAGGTAGGGTTGTCCTTTAAACACTGAATAGATGCAGCATCAGAGTCCAGGTGGTTGAAGGTTTAGAGGCCACTAGGGCCACAGGCAGATCATATAAAGACTTTGCAGGGGAAGACATGAAAGGAATTTCAATGGGAATTAAAAATTCAAGGGTGAATTTTACTTGGTGTCCATTGTTCCAGGTAATGAGCCAGCTCCTAGTGCTTGCCACTCACTAATTGAGTCTTCAGAGACAGAGTTACACCAGAGGCTGTGCATTGGCTCTGAATCTAGAATGTTCTGCGTGGCTAATACCGTACACTACTAAAATCTGGGAAGCACCACAATGCAGAGCCAAGTTCCCGAAGGTCACAGTCTAGCCTAGCTCTGCAATCCAGCCCAGTGGATTCCAGGTATGGCCGTCCAAAGTCAAGCTGAGCAAAGGCCAATGCAGAGACCAGCTCAAGCAGTGACAGTTGCAGGAATCTCAACTGAAGAAAAAAAAATATTGAAGAAAAACTCTTAGCTAGCAAAATAGGTTAGACTTGTCTCCACAGAGCAGAGAAATGTGGCCATCCTCCTAGGATACTAGAAAAAAAATGAGGCATGCTGGGAGTAGGAGGGGTTTTATCAGGCTGGTCACAGTTTATAAGCTGGCCAATGTCCAAATCCTCCTGTAGGCGCAGTATAACCTGACAGTCTCTGAACATTTGTGTCCCTCAAGAGAACTTCCCACCAGCCTTTGAAGTATCCCGATTCTTCCACTCACCTTTGTAACATAGAAGGCCTCCACATTCTTCTTATAGAGAGAGAGGATGCCGGGGATAAGACGAGGGAGCTGCTCCTCCAACTTCTCATTGGGTAACAAGTGACTCATCGGCCCAAGAGCTTCAACCACAGCCAATCTGACCTGCAGAGGAAGGAGACACAGGACTGAGAGACGGGTACAAGAGACAGCTGAGCAGCAAAGACACTGGGACTGAGAGACAACCGAGCTGCAGAGAGTGAGAGAGACAACCGAGCTGCAGAGAGTGGGAGAGACAGGACTGAGGGACAACCGAGCTGCAGAGAGTGAGAGAGACAACCGAGCTGCAGAGAATGGGAGAGACAGAACTGAGGGACAACCGAGCTGCAGAGAGCGAGAGAGACAACCGAGCTGCAGAGAATGATAGAGACAACTGAGCTGCAGAGAGTGGGAGAGACAGGACTGAGGGACAACCAAGCTGCAGAGAGTGAGAGAGACAACTGAGCTGCAGAGAGTGGGAGAGACAGGACTGAGGGACAACTGAGCTGCAGAGAGTGAGAGAGACAACCGAGCTGCAGAGAGTGAGAGATGGGACCGAGAGACAAGTGTAAGAGACAGCTGAGCAGCAGTGAGGGTGATGGGACTAAGACCACTGAGGGACGAATGGACAGATCCAGACCCAACCACCGGGTCAGGGGACAGACCCAACCACCGGGTCAGGGGACAGACCCAACCACCGGGTCAGGGGACAGACCCAACCACCGGGTCAGGGGACAGACCCAACCACCGGGTCAGGGGACAGACCCAACCACCGGGTCAGGGGACAGACCCAACCACCGGGTCAGGGGACAGACCCAACCACCGGGTCAGGGGACAGACCCAACCACCGGGTCAGGGGACAGACCCAACCACCGGGTCAGGGGACAGACCCCTCATTATGTCCTCAGCACTCGGCAGCGCCTCACCTTGGACTCGCGGTTCTGCAGCCAGTTATTGAAGAGGATGTCATAGGCACTGAAGAGTTCACTGGAGAAGGTGTCTTTCCTCACGGTGGGGTCTGGAGCTTTATCCAGATTGGCCAGATACTCCAGAATACTCTCACTGAACCGCTGCAGAGCTGAGACAGGACATAGAGGCTATAATCACAGCAATCATCCCAGCCTACAAACCCCCCACCTGGTGAGAACTGGCTCTGATACCTTCTACCTCCAGGAGTGCCACTTCTGACACCCCCCGCATGTATGACATCATGGCAATACATGGGGTGACAGGCTCACCACTGCTGGATGACCGGCACTTTCTACATGGTGGAGCGGAGCTCCCCCTCCCATACCAGGACAGAACTGTATACATAGAACAACTTACAGCCAGAGGTCAGGATATCGGAGACATTCTATAGGACACATCGGACGCATGGACTGCCCATGGCCAATATAAAGACACCAGAACACATCACAAGGACTTTGAGCTCCACCAATGAGGTCCTGTGTATGAAGCAGCACTGTCCTCTACCAGAACCAGCCAAGCTCCGCCCAGCCACCTGAGGTATGTTCTAGATGCGGCAGGAAAACAGCAAAAAACGTACAGATAGCAACCTATAACAACCAATCAGAATTCATCATGCCTCCCTCTGGCTTCAGTAAACAGATCCTTGTACTTCATGGGGGACTTGGGGCCCCTGTATATGGGGCCCCTGTATATGGGGCGCTGTCCAGGCTGTGGAGATCATACATTCTAGTTCTGGAATAATGTTATTGGTGGAGCTCTGTACCTCGCCATTGGTGGAGCTCTGTAGCTTGTCGTACCCAGTCACCGGTGGAGCTCCGTACCTCGGCATCGGTGGAGCTCTGAACCTCGTCACTGGTGGAGCTCTGAAACTCGTCACTGGTGGAGCTCTGAACCTCGTCACTGGTGGAGCTCTGAACCTCGCCATTGGAGGAGCTCTGTACCCTCGCCATTGGAGGAGCTCTGTACCTCGCCATTGGAGGAGCTCTGTGCCTCGCCATTGGAGGAGCTCTGTACCTCGCCATTGGAGGAGCTCTGTACCTCGCCATTGGAGGAGCTCTGTACCTCGCCATTGGAGGAGCTCTGTACCTCGCCATTGGAGGAGCTCTGTACCTCGCCATTGGAGGAGCTCTGTACCTCGTCATTGGAGGAGCTCTGTAGCTTGTCGTACCCAGTCACCGGTGGAGCGCCGTACCTCGGCATCGGTGGAGCTCCGTACCTCGGCATCGGTGGAGCTCCGAACCTCGGCATCGGTGGAGCTCCGAACCTCGGCATCGGTGGAGCTCCGAACCTCGGCATCGGTGGAGCTCTGAACCTCGCCATTGGAGGAGCTCTGTACCTCGCCATTGGAGGAGCTCTGTACCTCGTCATTGGAGGAGCTCTGTAGCTTGTCGTACCCAGTCACCGGTGGAGCGCCGTACCTCGGCATCGGTGGAGCTCCGTACCTCGGCATCGGTGGAGCTCCGAACCTCGGCATCGGTGGAGCTCCGAACCTCGGCATCGGTGGAGCTCCGAACCTCGGCATCGGTGGAGCTCTGAACCTCGCCATTGGAGGAGCTCTGTACCTCGCCATTGGAGGAGCTCTGTACCTCGTCATTGGAGGAGCTCTGTAGCTTGTCGTACCCAGTCACCGGTGGAGCGCCGTACCTCGGCATCGGTGGAGCTCCGTACCTCGGCATCGGTGGAGCTCCGAACCTCGGCATCGGTGGAGCTCCGAACCTCGGCATCGGTGGAGCTCCGAACCTCGGCATCGGTGGAGCTCTGAACCTCGTCACTGGTGGAGCTCTGAACCTCGTCACTGGTGGAGCTCTGAACCTCGTCACTGGTGGAGCTCTGAACCTCGTCACTGGTGGAGCTCTGAACCTCGTCACTGGTGGAGCTCTGAACCTCGTCACTGGTGGAGCTCTGAACCTCGTCACTGGTGGAGCTCTGAACCTCGTCACTGGTGGAGCTCTGAACCTCGTCACTGGTGGAGCTCTGAACCTCGTCACTGGTGGAGCTCTGAACCTCGTCACTGGTGGAGCTCTGAACCTCGTTACTGGTGGAGCTCTGAACCTCGTCACTGGTGGAGCGCTGTACCTGGTGGGCGATTCTGGGTCTCTGAATATCGGCCGTCCAGGCTCATACATCCTATTTTGAGCAATACACCCTCCTAATATTTGATTCAACACCCCTCCCCATTCTCACTGCACACACTGCCATATCACTCATTCCAGATGATTCCTCTGGCTTACCAACACAGAAGACGGCTTTCATGGGGTCCTGTTTGGCCATCCCCAACATTGGCAGCATGGTCCCCAGAATGGAGTTCAGAAACGGGACCATCCCAAACACTGACAGAGATCAGAAAGAATTCTTGTCACCATCATTTCACTGATATCACAAGGACAGAGGACACACAGCACACTCTTACCATTTGCCACCGAGAGATTGGCCAACGTCTGCATGATGAAGAAGTGTGGGAGGATCCCAGGCTGGAACTTCACCAGAATCTCCTCCATGACATTGTTAATGAAGCTCCTGCCAACCGCAACTAGGACGTTGCTGGCCGCCTGCTGCCACTCAAACACGATGTCCTGAGAGTAGGGGAGCGAGTCAGACATACCGGCAAGAGAGGAGGAACCAATCATAATAAATGGTTCTACAGAGAGTACGGAGTGCCAATGAACCCCATGTCACCATAGACCTGTCCATACACAGACCTGCTGACCCACACCCACCATAGACCTGTCCATACACAGACCTGCTGACCCACACCCACCATAGACCTGCCCATACACAGACCTGCTGACCCACACCCACCATAGACCTGTCCATACACAGACCTGCTGACCCCACACCCACCATAGACCTGCCCATACACAGATCTGCTGACCCACACCCACCATAGACCTGCCCATACACAGACCTGCTGACCCACACCCACCATAGACCTGTCCATACACAGACCTGCTGACCCACACACCCACCATAGACCTGCCCATACACAGACCTGCTGACCCACACCCACCATAGACCTGTCCATACACAGACCTGCTGACCCACACACCACCATAGACCTGCCCATACACAGACCTGCTGACCCACACCCACCATAGACCTGCCCATACACAGACCTGCTGACCCACACCCACCATAGACCTGCCCATACACAGACCTGCTGACCCACACCCACCATAGACCTGCCCATACACAGACCTGCTGACCCACACCCACCATAGACCCTGCCCATACACAGATCTGCTGACCCACACCCACCATAGACCTGCCCATACACAGACCTGCTGACCCACACCCACCATAGACCTGTCCCATACACAGACCTGCTGACCCACACTCACCTGCCCATAGACCTGCTAACCCACACTCACCATAGCCCCCATACACAGACCTGCTGACCCACACCCATAGACTCACCATACACAGATCTGCCCACCCACACACAGACCTGCTGACCCACACCCACCATAGATCTGCCCATACACAGATCTGCTGACCCACACCCACCATAGACCTGTCCATACACAGACCTGCTGACCCACACCCACCATAGACCTGTCCATACACAGATCTGCTGACCAGATCTGCACCACCCACCATAGACCTGCCCATACACAGATCTGCTGACCCACACCCACCATAGACCTGTCCATACACAGACCTGCTGCTGACCCACACCCACCATAGACCTGCCCATACACAGATCTGCTGACCCACACCCACCATAGACCTGCCCATACACAGATCTGCTGACCCACACCCACCATAGACCTGCCCATACACAGACCTGCTGACCCACACCCACCATAGACCTGCCCATACACAGATCTGCTGACCCACACCCACCATAGACCTGCCCATACACAGACCTGTTGACCCGCACTCACCTTAGATTTGGTCATCTCATTTGAGGCCAGCAGGATGACCATCCTGGCCATGTCTTTGTTCAGTTTTGAAAGGTTTTCCTTTACTATGGTCTCCATTGCTCTCAGGATTATGGTGCGATGAGTAGTGGATAACTGCAGGTAGAATAACATGGTGGATATGACAGATCTACCCACAATTCCCATGGGCCATGTCGCTGAGGGTCATACCCAACCATGTCGCTGAGGGTCATACCCAACCATGTCGCTGAGGGCCATACCCAACCATGTCGCTGAGGGCCATACCCAACCATGTCGCTGAGGGCCATACCCAACCATGTCGCTGAGGGCCATACCCAACCATGTCGCTGAGGGCCATACCCAACCATGTCGCTGAGGGCTATACTTGGCCATACTGCTGAGGGTCATACCCAACCATGTCACTGAGGGGCTATACTCGGCCATGCTGCTGAGGGTCATACCCAACCATGTCGCTGAGGGCCATACCCAACCATGTCACTGAGGGCTATACTCGGCCATGCTGCTGAGGGTCATACCCAACCATGTCACTGAGGGTCATACCCAACCATGTCACTGAGGGTCATACCCAACCATGTCACTGAGGGCTATACTCGGCCATGCTGCTGAGGGTCATACCCAACCATGTCACTGAGGGCTATACTCGGCCATGCTGCTGAGGGTCATACCCAACCATGTCGGCTGAGGGCCATACCCAACCATGTCACTGAGGGCTATACTCGGCCATGCTGCTGAGGGTCATACCCAACCATGTCGCTGAGGGTCCATACCCAACCGTGTCACTGAGGGCTATACTCGGCCATGCTGCTATGCCATGCTGAGGGTCATACCCAACCATGTCTATACTGATGGGGTCATACCCAACCATGTCACTGAGGGCTATACTCGGCCATGCTGCTGCTGAGGGTCATACCCAACCATGTCACTGAGGGTCATACCCAACCATGTCACTGAGGGTCATACCCAACCATGTCACTGAGGGCTATACTCGGCCATGCTGCTGAGGGTCATACCCAACCATGTCACTGAGGGCTATACTCGGCCATGCTGCTGAGGGTCATACCCAACCATGTCGCTGAGGGTCATACCCAACCATGTCGCTGAGGGTCATACCCAACCATGTCGCTGAGGGCTATACTCGGCCATGCTGCTGAGGGTCATACCCAATCATGTCGGTGAGGGCCATACCCAACCATGTCACTGAGGGCTATACTCGGCCATGCTGCTGAGGGCCATGCCCAATCATGTCGCTGAGGGCCATACTCAGCCATGTCACTGTCTGTGCTGTCAGTCACCAATGTTCCCCTGGATTCTGTGCTTGGATCTGCACAGCCCCAACAAAGAACACATTGCACCGTGAACACCCAGATGTCAGCCTTTGTGTTTCACAAATATCTCTTAGTTTACAAAACCTTATTCAGGCCAATTCCCAGACTGCCCTCTGTGTGATGTCATACAGTAGGTGGTGCTTTGTGACTGCATACCTTGTTCTGTCGGAGGTAGGAGTCACATGACTCCAGCACCTCCACCGTTGCGGTCTCTCCCATGAAACATAGAGAGCTGTAGACCTGCTCCTGTACATCCGGGTCCTTGTCTGTGGAGGTGTCCATGAGGGTGATGACCAAGCCTGGTGAGAGAAGGACAAGTGTTATATTCTGGGGTGTAGAAATTCTCCAACAGTGACCGATATTGGAGAACAAATGTACGGCGGCACCACCGAATCCTCCTCCAGTCATTGCACATCCAAGGAGAGAAATGATTGGTGTACCAGGAGACTGCCCATAGCAAACACTCCCTCCCCCGAGTACTTCTATAATCATTACAAAGAATCCAGCCAGAAGATTATATCATGGTTAGCAACATGTTTTTGTCATTTTGGGTGGAGTTGGTTAGGACTAAAACCTGCCATCTGGGCCCCATTGAGGAGATTTCCCTTCACTTCCCTAAAATGTCCTCTTAATTGTCACTTCCTCTACAGGCGGCAATTACCAGGACAAGCCAAGAGGGCGAATCTCCACTGAGGAGACACAAACATGAATAAAAACCTGACAGGGGTTCTAATCCATCCTCACTTCCTCCAAATCTTATAAGAAACTTTTCTGCTTTAGATACACTTTAAAAAAGGACCTTTTTTCTATCCTCTTACTTTTTATTTTCAAAAAACATACCCATGTGCCAATCTGTCCCTTCAGGTTCTTGCAGCTGGTCCCTTACCAACTACGACCGGGGCCAAACCATTATCACCATGAGAACTGTGCAAGCCAACTACGACCTGGGCCAAACCATTATCATGAGAAATGTGTACAAGCCAACTACGACCTGGGCCAAACCATTATCACCATGAGAACTGTGCAAGCCAACTACGACCTGGGCCAAACCATTATCACCATGAGAAATGTACAAGCCAACTACGACCTGGGCCAAACCATTATCACCATGAGAACTGTGCAAGCCAACTACGACCTGGGCCAAACCATTATCACCATGAGAACTGTGCAAGCCAACTACGACCTGGGCCAAACCATTATCACCATGAGAACTGTGCAAGCCAACTACGACCTGGGCCAAACCATTATCACCATGAGAACTGTGCAAGCCAACTACGACCTGGGCCAAACCATTATCACCATGAGAAATGTGCAAGCCAACTACGACCTGGGCCAAACCATTATCACCATGAGAACTGTGCAAGCCAACTACGACCTGGGCCAAACCCATTATCACCATGAGAAATGTACAAGCCAACTACGACCTGGGCCAAACCATTATCACCATGAGAAATGTACAAGCCAACTACGACCTGGGCCAAACCATTATCACCATGAGAACTGTGCAAGCCAACTACGACCTGGACCAAACCATTATCACCATGAGAAATGTACAAGCCAACTATGACCTGGGCCAAACCATTATCACCATGAGAACTGTGCAAGCCAACTATGACCTGGGCCAAACCATTATCACCATGAGAAACTGTGCAAGCCAACTACGACCTGGGCCAAACCATTATCACCATGAGAACTGTGCAAGCCAACTACGACCTGGGCCAAACCATTATCACCATGAGAACTGTACAAGCCAACTACGACCTGGGCCAAACCATTATCACCATGAGAACTGTGCAAGCCAACTACGACCTGGACCAAACCATTATCTCGATGAGAACTGTGCAAGCCAACTACGACCCAAACCATTATCACCATGAGAAATGTGCAAGCCAACTGCGACCTGAAACAAACCATTATCACCATGAGAACTGTGCAAGCCAACTACGACCTGGGCCAAACCATTATCACCATGAGAACTGTGCAAGCCAACTACGACCTGGGCCAAACCATTATCTCCATGAGAACTGTACAAGCCAACTACGACCTGGGCCAAACCATTATCACCATGAGAACTGTGCAAGCCAACTACGACCTGGACCAAACCATTATCTCCATGAGAACTGTACAAGCCAACTACGACCTGGACCAAACCATTATCACCATGAGAAATGTGCAAGCCAACTGCGACCTGGACCAAACCATTATCACCATGAGAACTGTGCAAGCCAACTACGACCTGGACCAAACCATTATCGCCATGAGAACTGTGCAAGCCAACTACGACCTGGGCCAAACCATTATCACCATGAGAACTGTGCAAGCCAACTACAACCTGGGCCAAACCATTATCACCATGAGAAATGTACAAGCCAACTGCGACCTGGGCCAAACCATTATCACCATGAAAACTGTGCAAGCCAACTACGACCTGGACCAAACCATTATCACCATGAGAACTGAACAAGCCAACTGCGACCTGGACCAAACCATTATCACTATGAGAACTGAACAAGCCAACTGCGACCTGGACCAAACCATTATCACCATGAGAACTGTACAAGCCAACTACGACCTGGACCAAACCATTATCACCATGAGAAATGTGCAAGCCAACTAGAACCTGGACCAAACCATTATCACCATGAAACAAGCCAACTAGAACCTGGACCAAACCATTATCACTAGGAGAACAGGACCTGGAAGCTAGCGGCAATCACTGTAGTAGCGGTGTAGTAGTGGTGCTGACTACAGTGATTCCCAGCTTCCATGGGGATTGGCCAGGTATGGTACATACGTTCTTACAGCGATCCAAGATGGACCAATATATACTCCACACCTGGAGTTCAACTTTAAAGTGGTTGTAAACCTCAGACATGAAATATGAACAAAGCCTATCCCTCTATAGTGTGTACTTGTCTCAGTCCAGAGCACTGAGTGTCATTTCTGTCTGCTGCCTCCTTCCTCTGCTATCAGCATGAGTCACCTCTGACAAGTTTTCCTGACACCAAAAGAACAATGGTGACAGGATAGGAACTCTGCACACAGCCCGTGATTGACATCCTCAGCTCTGTTCCTGTGTGTGTCCCTTCTCTCCAATCAGCTCGCAGAGCTCTTCAGAGTGTAAATTCAGCTATCCGCCCCCTTTTTTCTGATTTCTCAAACAAGCTGTATAAATTCTGCAGTTTGAATGGATGTAGAGAAGAGAATGCTGTAGATAAACAGGTACAACTTATGAAGAAGGATGTGTTTCCTCTCTGTGTACCACCTGAGGCCACTCCCATCACTGGGGATATGGAGGGATTACAACCACTAAGTATTTTCCCAAGTTCACGGGACAGACATTTGGCAGAGCACAGCCATCAATCATCAGATATGGATTCCATCCATTCACCAGCTCACTCTCGGCCTTACGTTTGACACTGGAACTGGCCATTGTCCTGTCTGTCCACTAGGCGTCGCAGTATCCACTGTGGGGGATGGTCGGTGAGGATCAGAGTTCTCAGTTCTGGAAGGTTCTCACTGCCTTCAGGTTGGAGCTACACACACGACCCAAGGTGACCCTTTATTGCTTCAGATCAGAAATGGTCCAAGTAGAGGAGAGCCATGGAAGCCGAGGCCTCAGCTAGGAAGACGAAGACCATGATCCACAGTCAGGAGTTCCTGAAGACTGGAAGATCCTGATCTCTGGAAGACACAGCTGGAGGAGCCACCAAATGTCCAGAAGATGGTGAGGTCAGATCCTGGAGGGGGGGGGGGGGTTATTGCTACGCAAGTTCCAGGGATCTCATAAGGCATGGACTATGGGGGGGACCTGAGAGAGCCGAGGTGAGACCTCCTGAGAGACTAAATATATGGAGGTCCTGAAGGAGCCTACAGATGGTCAGATGGTTCCCCGATTGTCCAATCCAGACAATTCCCTGTGAAAAGAGAAAAAAAATATCATAAAAATGTATAAAAAACAGACAAACCTAAAGCTGGGCGCACACCTCTGCATGTAGCATGACGAGGTCAGTGGGGTGGAGGACCGGGGACGGGAGGACGGGGGTCGGTGGTGGGGAGGACCGGGGATGGGAGGACGGGGGTCGGTGGTGGGGCAGAGGACCGGGGATGGGAGTCGGTGGTGGGGCAGAGGACCGGGGACGGGAGGACGGGGGTCGGTGGTGGGGTAGAGGACCGGGGTCGGTGGTGGGGCAGAGGACCGGGGACGGGAGGACGGGGGTCGGTGGTGGGGTAGAGGACGGGACGGGAGGACGGGGGTCGGTGGTGGGGCAGAGGACCGAGGACGGGAGGACGGGGGTCGGTGGTGGGGCAGAGGACCGGGACGGGAGGACGGGGGTCGGTGGTGGGGCAGAGGACCGGGGACGGGAGGAGTCGGTGGCGGGGCAGAGGACCGGGGACGGGAGGACGGGGTCGGTGGCGGTGGCAGAGGACCGGGGACAAGAGGACGGGGGTCGGTGGTGGGGCAGAGGACAGGGGACGGGAGGACGGGGGTCGGTGGTGGGGCAGAGGACAGGGGACGGGGACGGGGGTCGGTGGTGGGGCAGAGGACAGGGGACGGGAGGACGGGGGTCGGTGGTGGGGCAGAGGACAGGGGACGGGGGTCGATGGTGGGGCAGAGGACAGGGACGGGAGGACGGGAGTCGGTGGTGGGGCAGAGGACCGGGGACGGGAGGACGGGAGTCGGTGGTGGGCAGAGGACCGGGGACGGGAGGACGGGGTGGGGGGGCAGAGGACAGGGGACGGGAGGACGGGGTCGGTGGTGGGCAGAGGACCGGGGACGGGAGGACGGGGGGCGTGGTGGGGCAGAGGACAGGGGACGGGAGGACAGGGGTCGGTGGTGGGGCAGAGGACAGGGGACGGGAGGACGGGGTCGGTGGTGGGGCAGAGGACAGGGGACGGGAGGACGGGGTCGGTGGTGGGGCAGAGGACAGGGGGGACGGGAGTCGGTGGTGGGGCAGAGGACCGGGGACGGGAGGACGGGGGTCGGTGGTGGGGCAGAGGACAGGGGACGGGAGGACGGGGGTCGGTAGGGCTGAGGACGGGGGTCGGGGGTAGGGCTGAGGACGGGGTCGGGAGGACGGGGGGCGGTAGGGCAGAAAACAGTATATACAGAGAATGTCCCCCAATACAGAGGAGCCGTCCTGTATATACAGAGAATGTCCCCCCAATACAGAGGAGCCGTCCTGTATATACAGAGAATGTCCCCCCAATACAGAGGAGCCGTCCTGTATATACAGAGAATGTCCCCCCAATACAGAGGAGCCGTCCCGTATATACAGAGAATGTCCCCAATACAGAGGAGCCGTCCCGTATATACAGAGAATGTCCCCAATACAGAGGAGCCGTCCCGTATATACAGAGAATGTCCCCAATACAGAGGAGCCGTCCCGTATATACAGAGAATGTCCCCCAATACAGAGGAGCCGTCCCGTATATACAGAGAATGTCCCCCCAATACAGAGGAGTCGTCCCGTATATACAGAGAATGTCCCCCAATACAGAGGAGCCGTCCCGTATATATACAGAGAATGTCCCCCAATACAGAGGAGCCGTCCCGTATATACAGAGAATGTCCCCCAATACAGAGGAGCCGTCCTGTATATACAGAGAATGTCCCCCAATACAGAGGAGCCGTCCTGTATATACAGAGAATGTCCCCCAAATACAGAGGAGCCGTCCTGTATATACAGAGAATGTCCCCCCAATACAGAGGAGCCGTCCTGTATATACAGAGAATGTCCCCCAATACAGAGGAGCCGTCCCGTATATACAGAGAATGTCCCCCAATACAGAGGAGCCGTCCCCGTATATACAGAGAATGTCCCCCAATACAGAGGAGCCGTCCCGTATATACAGAGAATATCCCCCCAATACAGAGGAGCCGTCCGTATATACAGAGAATGTCCCCCCAATACAGAGGAGCCGTCCCGTATATACAGAGAATGTCCCCCAATACAGAGGAGCCGTCCCGTATATACAGAGAATGTCCCCCAATACAGAGGAGCCGTCCCGTATATACAGAGAATGTCCCCCCAATACAGAGGAGCCGTCCCGTATATACAGAGAATGTCCCCCCAATACAGAGGAGCCGTCCCGTATATACAGAGAATGTCCCCAATACAGAGGAGCCGTCCCGTATATACAGAGAATGTCCCCCCAATACAGAGGAGCCGTCCCGTATATACAGAGAATGTCCCCCAATACAGAGGAGCCGTCCCGTATATACAGAGAATGTCCCCAATACAGAGGAGCCGTCCCGTATATACAGAGAATGTCCCCCAATACAGAGAGCCGTCCTGTATATACAGAGAATGTCCCCCAATACAGAGGAGCCGTCCTGTATATACAGAGAATGTCCCCCAATACAGAGGAGCCGTCCTGTATATACAGAGAATGTCCCCAATACAGAGGAGCCGTCCCGTATATACAGAGAATCCCCCCCAATACAGAGGAGCCGTCCCGTATATACAGAGAATGTCCCCCAATACAGAGGAGCCGTCCCGTATATACAGAGAATGTCCCCCAATACAGAGGAGCCGTCCCGTATATACAGAGAATGTCCCCCCAATACAGAGGAGCCGTCCCGTATATACAGAGAATGTCCCCCAATACAGAGGAGCCGTCCCGTATATACAGAGAATGTCCCCCAATACAGAGGAGCCGTCCCGTATATACAGAGAATGTCCCCCCCAATACAGAGGAGCCGTCCCGTATATACAGAGAATGTCCCCCCAATACAGAGGAGCCGTCCTGTATATACAGAGAATGTCCCCCCAATACAGAGGAGCCGTCCTGTATATACAGAGAATGTCCCCCAATACAGAGGAGCCGTCCCGTATATACAGAGAATGTCCCCCCAATACAGAGGAGCCGTCCCGTATATACAGAGAATATCCCCCCAATACAGAGGAGTCGTCCCGTATATACAGAGAATGTCCCCCCAATACAGAGGAGCCGTCCCGTATATACAGAGAATGTCCCCCAATACAGGAGGAGCCGTCCCGTATATACAGAGAATGTCCCCCCAATACAGAGGAGCCGTCCCGTATATACAGAGAATGTCCCCCCAATACAGAGGAGCCGTCCTGTATATACAGAGAATGTCCCCCCAATACAGAGGAGCCGTCCTGTATATACAGAGAATGTCCCCCCAATACAGAGGAGCCGTCCTGTATATACAGAGAATGTCCCCCCAATACAGAGGAGCCGTCCCGTATATACAGAGAATGTCCCCCAATACAGAGGAGCCGTCCCGTATATACAGAGAATGTCCCCCAATACAGAGGAGCCGTCCTGTATATACAGAGAATGTCCCCCAATACAGAGGAGCCGTCCCGTATATACAGAGAATGTCCCCAATACAGAGGAGCCGTCCCGTATATACAGAGAATGTCCCCCAATACAGAGGAGCCGTCCCGTATATACAGAGAATGTCCCCCAATACAGAGGAGCCGTCCTGTATATACAGAGAATGTCCCCAATACAGAGGAGCCGTCCTGTATATACAGAGAATGTCCCCCAATACAGAGGAGCCGTCCCGTATATACAGAGAATGTCCCCCCAATACAGAGGAGTCGTCCCGTATATACAGAGAATGTCCCCCCAATACAGAGGAGCCGTCCTGTATATACAGAGAATGTCCCCCCAATACAGAGGAGCCGTCCTGTATATACAGAGAATGTCCCCAATACAGAGGAGCCGTCCCGTATATACAGAGAATGTCCCCCAATACAGAGGAGCCGTCCCGTATATACAGAGAATGTCCCCCAATACAGAGGAGCCGTCCTGTATATACAGAGAATGTCCCCCCAATACAGAGGAGTCGTCCCGTATATACAGAGAATGTCCCCCCAATACAGAGGAGCCGTCCTGTATATACAGAGAATGTCCCCCAATACAGAGGAGCCGTCCTGTATATACAGAGAATGTCCCCCCAATACAGAGGAGCCGTCCTGTATATACAGAGAATGTCCCCCCAATACAGAGGAGCCGTCCCGTATATACAGAGAATGTCCCCCAATACAGAGGAGTCGTCCTGTATATACAGAGAATGTCCCCCCCAATACAGAGGAGCCGTCCCGTATATACAGAGAATGTCCCCCAATACAGAGGAGCCGTCCTGTATATACAGAGAATGTCCCCCAATACAGAGGAGCCGTCCTGTATATACAGAGAATGTCCCCCAATACAGAGGAGCCGTCCTGTATATACAGAGAATGTCCCCCCAATACAGAGGAGCCGTCCTGTATATACAGAGAATGTCCCCCCAATACAGAGGAGCCGTCCTGTATATACAGAGAATGTCCCCCCAATACAGAGGAGCCGTCCTGTATATACAGAGAATGTCCCCCAATACAGAGGAGCCGTCCTGTATATACAGAGAATGTCCCCCCAATACAGAGGAGCCGTCCTGTATATACAGAGAATGTCCCC